ATTCTGTTAGATGCTAAATCACTATCCCAGTTGGTTATAAGTCCCCCTTCCAGTCACAAAAACCATGTTGTTTCTTGTTTCCTACAGCTGTGGGACGTTTGCGCTTCAGCCTGGTGCAGAAGAATTGATGTATGGTGCAGAGAGTCCTGGAGCGGCTGGAAGGACGTTTTCACATTCATCTGCATGAAAGAGTAAAGCTTCTCTGTGGCTCATTGATTAAATTTTCGGGTTCTTTAAGGGTGTTTGCATTAGGGCTGTAACGGTTCTGAAACCGAGACCAGAAATCTGCAACACAACAAGTCTCACGGTCTCGTGTCCCGCCGATGCCGGAGAGACACGAGACCGTGACGCGCCTCGCTCGCTCCCTGGACTGTTGAGCTCTCGTTAAAGTTTACAGTGTCAAGGCTGCGGCGGTGGCCCGGCGGGCCCGTGGGGTGGTAAGCGGTGTTAAGGGCCTGTAATCATCATTTTCTGTATGATTGAAAGATAAGTTATTCCTAGTGTCATTTTCCACCTTATTTTTATGTGTTATTTAGCTACTTTAATCTTGGCCTCCCTTTCCTCTTCTCCCCAACGCCTCACACACAACAGCACGCAGCACACACACCAAGCTACACACACAGAACAACACCACACACGACACACACACACACCGACACACACACACACAGCAGACAGCCTGGAACCTCTGCGTCAGCTCCACGTGCCGGCCAAACCACGCCTCCGCCTTGATTGCTCCCGCCCTCTTTCCTGTCTCTCTTCTCTCCCTGTGTGGTGTCTCTGGCTCCCCACCCTTTCTCCATGCCAGCAGGTAGCGTTTCATAAACTCCACCCCGTGATTCAGTATTTTCAAAGTTGGCGCCGCATGTGGGGTCCAAACCGAAAACTAACGTATGTGGAGTTGACATGCTGGCCAGGTGGTGCGTTCGATGGACGCCTCCCGTAATTGTAAGATTTTCTGGCCGTATCCGCTATAATCAGATAAACAACTCTCTCTCTCCTCTCGTCTCCTCTGGTCTTCTGGAGGATTTAAATGCTGCTGGCTTTCTAACGTGACCCACCTTAGTGGTGGTGTTTAGTAACTCAATTAAGGCAGAGGAAAACAAACGGCTAGGTCTGAGCCTTTTCCCTTTCTTATCAAAGTCATTTCCTGTATTGACCTGCCTTCCCTGTGAACACACGGAAATGTCCTGTAAAATGAACGGCTCCACGTAGTTTGCTGACATCATCTGTGTGTGTTTCCACAGGATGCCTTCTGGGGGCTGGTCCAAATTTGTGAGAAGTATCTTCCTGGTTACTACAGTCCCGGCCTGGTGAGTCTGAAACACGTGAAAGCATGCATGATGACATCAGCAGGTGAAATGCAGAGAGAATATTGTTTCATCAGACTCTGCCGATCTAAGAACTGTAATCCAGATAAACCAACTGGGCTTTTGTTGTGATAACAGTAAAACTAGAACACAGTTGTTGCTGCAGAATGGACAGTGTGACGCAGGGACTTACTGATGGGCGTTGTCACTCTTGTCAGACCATAATTTAATATTTGATTGCTTACTTGCCCAACATTATGATTAAACTATCTTGTGTAATTCATTTTGCCTGGCGGTTACAGTTCAACATTATTGTTTTTGTATTATATAATTCATTTTATTTGGAAACAAGACTTGTTTCCGCATGCGTTCAGACTGGTATGTTTTTATTGGGTGAACATCCACATGCCTATCAGGTTTCAGCCCTGACAATACAGAGCACAATGGCTTTTGTTTTCTCTGTTAATGCTTTCCTATCTGTGTCTCTTTCAGGAAGCTATACAGTTAGATGGAGAGATCCTGTTCGCTCTGCTGCGACGTGTCTCCCCCCTAGCCTTCCGCCATCTGGAGAAACACAAGATCGACCCCATCCTCTACATGACTGAATGGTTTATGTGTGCCTTCTCCAGGACGTTGCCTTGGGCCTCTGTGCTGCGTGTCTGGGACATGTTCCTCTGTGACGGTAAAGGCTTCCAGCACTGTAGTTGCAGTGGTGCCAGATGTTGTAGACGAGCAGTTACATACTCTGTGATACTCAGTCAACATGGCTCTTCTCCCTCTCCCAGGAGTGAAGATAATCTTCCGGGTGGGTTTGGTGCTGCTGAAGTGCATGCTGGGGACCCGGGAAAAGCTGAAGGCCTGCCAGGGCCAGTATGAAACCATGGAGCTCCTCAGGGCCATAGAGCCTCGATACATGCAGGAGGGCTTCCTCGTCCGAGAGGTAACAGCAGAGGAGTAGCAACATGTCAGAGTGATGATCCTTTATCCAAGTCAATGGTTGGCAAACATTCACTCAGCCTGATTGTCCCTGCATGAAGTTCTCAATCTCCACCAGCTTTATGAGGACTTCACTGAATGCAAAACTGTGTTTATGCCACCCAAGTGCTAGGCCATGCATAATACTTCCTCATATGTTTCCTTATCTAAGGCTGGAATGTCAGTTAATTAAAACTTAAACCCACATTACTCAGTTGCAGGTTTTTCATGCACTGACTTGTCACACATTAAAGTGCATTTGTTCTCATATAAACAACGCTAACCCTTTAAGGAGCCAATATGGATGTTGTTGTTTATTAGTTAGAATGATGTGATCTGTGGGATGTAATTAAATGGAATCCTGCGGTTGGTAAATTTAGAAAAAGTAAGGGAAGTAAGAGTATGCATACTTCCCCTTATTTTTATGTCTCAGAATGTTTTTCCCCAGTTGTCCAACAAGAATAGCAACACATATAGTGGGCTGAGTTGTACAAAAGCATATACTAAGATTTGTTTTAAACATGAACAGTCTTTGTTGATGACAAGAAGTCTTATTACACTGGCATAATCCTTTAATGATGTAGTGGAGGGTTGTGTCACTGATGAACAACGGGCGTTCAGAAATGCAGCCGAGGAAACAGCAGAGACTCTGAGTTAAAGTGACACAGAGACCAATTGACTGAGTGGTGGCTGCTCAGTGTCTGCTTCTTGTGCCAAGCGTTGTGTGAGTCTCTTTCCAGGCTAACAATACCACCTCTTATATGAAGGGTTGTCTTGACTGTGAGTGACCATGCATCCCCCCCAGCCCCGACGCTCCCTGACATTTACTGAGTTCAAAGTTCACACTTTTAACACGATTGCCAAACATGGAAAGAACATACTGTTTCCTACACGCTTCCTTTGAAAATGATACATGTTTAATGACTCCAGCTTTGACCTAGTGACGTATTTCTTCCTGTTGCAGATTCTGGAGGTGCCAGTTACGGCTCGAGACGTGGAAAGAGAGAATCACACCCAGCTGAAGCGTTGGAAGAAGAACCGTGGAGAGCTGAATTTCAAATCACCCCCGAGGATGCACGGCGCCCGGCTCATCATGTTGGCCGAGCCTCCGAGGCGCCAGGACCTTCTGCAGAACCCCACCATTCTACTTGAGATGCCTCAGCACAACACAAAGTTGAAGAAGGGGAAGGAGGAAAAGAACAGCAAGAAGAAGAGCATGAAGAAATCCAAGCCCATTGAGGAGATCCCTAATCCTTACTCTCTTCCCCACGACCCTCCACCTCCACCCTCAGATCCACCAGCGCCACCTCCAGTCAGCAGCAAGACGCCGGAGACTGTGCCACAGACCGCGCCACAGACTGAAACTAACTCACCTCACCAGCAGCCAGCGCCACCTACAGACGTTCCCCCTGCCAAAGAATCTCCTCTTCAGCGATCCACACAAAGCCTTAGCAGCACAGACCAGGATACATACCTGTAGCTCTACAGCAGTCAGTATGTATGTGTGTGTGTATGTGTGTGTGTGTGTGTGTGGACGAAGCACCAGCACCCTTCAGCCAATGACCAGCCAGCCTTGCCAAGGTCACTATTATTCTATTGGACTGTTTTGTACTCATTTATTCATTTTAGACACCATTTTGCCTACAATATTATTGGTATACACTAAAGCATTGTTGCTAAGTGTAAAACTACTTTGCTTATGCTATTTCGCCACGTGAAGCTGATGTTACCTCCTCTGGAAGCTTGACGCTCTCATTCAGACTATAAGTCTTAGTATTCTAGGGAGACACGTTACTGAGTTATTGGGAGCAGAGTCATTTCTTCAGAGCAGTGTGCTTTTGAGGTTTAAATGGGACTAAAGGAACAATGAGGTGCCACAGCGTATGCAGTTTTTCTATACATTTCCACTCAAATTCAACACTATTGAGAGCATTAGTAATACTGTGCAGCAGTGGGTGTAAGATACAAACTCCCTGCCTTTCAACTTCTTGAGCCATTATGTTTCATGAGTGGTGTTGTCCACTAGAGGGCAGCATCGCAGTGGTTTCAGCTGTAATTCCTGTTACATTCCCCGTTAGTAAAGCAGGGTGGGGGGATTCCTTTAAGGATTCACTAAGTTTGGGAGGTGTTATTCTGACCTTGAGCTTTGAACTTTCATGCTTTATAGTCTTCATCATCTTCCTGAATTGGTGAAATTGAGTCACACCACATTATGTTCACGCAAGTCTTTTTCTACGAAGCGCTATTTATTTAAACAACAGATTAAAGAAGATCTTTGTGCGTGCCCTTTCAGTGCACAAATGGTCACATTTTTTCAGCATCAGTTGAATTGATGTGGTTTAACTCTGTATAAGCTCCAATACTCACTGTGCCAGGCACTTCCAGCCACTTTAGAGCAGCGGTAATTCATGTAACTTTGGCAGAGGAGAGGGGAACACTGGACATTCCTCACTGTATGACACATTCCTGCCTTGTTAAAAGCTAATCAGTCTAAGAGCTGTCTCTTGCCTAATGCAAATCTGTATAATGTATGTATTTGTGCATGTGTTTCCTGTAACACCTTGGACAGTGAGTGATTGCAAATCACCTAATGGTGCTGAACTTCCTCTTGGCGTTGCTTAAACACCCAGTCGGAGCCAAGAAGATCTCGTTAGTGTGTTGGGTCTATTTTCTTTTTAATATTTTGCTAGAATTTCCAAAGCAGATCAAAACTGTGTTGTTTTGAGATGACCTGCGGGGACTACCTGTGACCACACTTACTCCCTAAATACAGTCAAGAGGGATCATGTGACTTCAAGATTTATTTTGGGATATTTTTAATATTTCTCTTTCGAAACGTTGGCTAATATCTCTGGGAAATGTGGACACGTGCACAGGTTGTGAGGCTGTGAGGTTTTTTTCAGAACGTTTTGGACAATCTTTTATGTGGCGGTCCAAGTCTGTTTTCTAACTTTCTTATAAAAGGTAAAGGGAGTTTTGACAAGCATACGCACACATGTGTATAATGTGTTTTGTGCATATAATTAATATAAAAAAAAGTCTTTGCTAAAAAAAATTAAATAAATGCATGTTTGGTCAGTTATAAAAAGCAATGGGGTTTAAAAGGATAACACATTTTCAAGCAGTCACTCGCCTGTATGCAATAGTTTTTTTTAGTTGCCTATATTACACACCTCACATTTCGCTGTTATATTTTAATTTAATGCTCATTGTGTAGATATGACATGTAAAATAACAATTTGTTTTGTAATGAAATCTATTTTTCAATCTATAATGGTATATTTTATTGAGCAGTTACAGGAACTGCCGAGGGGGACACCTCTAAATCATTTGACGTGTAGAGCAGTATATCTTACATCAACATTTGTAACACTAGAAAGAAAAAGAAAAAGTGAATCTGAAATTTGGGGGTAACTTTCGCAAATGTTTTTCTTACTCTAAAGACAGATTGCTATTTTAACATTCACATTAGGGTTACAGAAGAGATGTTTGACAACCGTGGGACAGTATGCATCATGCGTTTAAATTTGCGAATAAATCTTTGTTTAAAGCCAACTTATGCGTTTGATGTTTTATTGATTCCCAGAATGTGAGGAAATGTTTTTGAACACATTCTGCCTGTATTTACCTTGTTGTGTGTAACTACTTATTTCCACCACTAGATGGAGCTCCAAAAACATCACTTTAAAATGAAGCAGTGGTTCCCAAAGTGGGTGCTTGTGTGGCTGGGTGGGAAATTAGCACCAGTAAACAGCCAAATGCTGGTGAAATATGAAATTTCAGACATAAATAATAATAATTTGATATTGAGTGGCTGGTGAATTTGTGCATGTATCTGCACAGGATTGTAGATGTAATTTCCCACCCTGAATGACTGTCAGGATCACTATTTAAAAATCCCTGTTACATATGCATTAAGGCCACAGCTACGTTTGGTGAAGTAACATTATGTAGGCCGGGATCCAGGTCCAGCCCTCAGGATGTTTTCTGCTAACTTTTGTCCTCTTTTATTTCCTTGTTACTTGAGGCCTGTTTAGACTCAGGGGCCCAAAACCCCTTTTGGGCCATGTTTGTATTTGTGGCCCAATAGCATAGATAGTCATACAAATATGAAAAAACTCTGGTTCTTGATGCCATTCTGTCTAAAAATATCAACTACAACATCCCCAAAGAGACAGAAAAAAAAAGACAAATTCTCATCAAAATGATTATTTTGCGGCCCTTTATGATGGATATCACAGCCTCACTTATACAGAGAAAACTGCCCATGTTCATAAACTTACATTTGAGCCCAATATGAACTTTATATATATATATATATATATATATATATATATTTCTATATAAAATA